CCCCCCACCCCACACTGCTCCTACCCTCAACTCTGTTCAGCCATTTGCTGTTGATACAAATCAACTCATATAAGAATGAACGTAAAATCCTTTTGCATCCACATGGAACGTCATTATCTTGGCCATGGTTCCCCCCCACCCCCCACCCCACACTGCTCCTACCCTCCACTCTGTTCAGCCATTTGCTGTTGATACAAATCAACACATATAAGAATGAATGTAAAATCCTTTTGCATCCACATGGAACGTTATTATCTTGGCCATGGTTCCCCCCCCACCCCCCCACCCCCCACTACTCCTACCCTCCACTCTGTTCAGCCCACTCATCTGAACAGCCTAACTTGGTTTCTGAGTCGGCCGTTTTGGTTTCTGAATCGGCCGTTTTGGTTTCTGAATCGGCCGTTTTGGTTTCTGAATCGGCTCTTTTGGTTTCTGAATCGGCTCTTTTGGTTTCTGAATCGTAGTTGCTGAATCGGCTGTTTTGGTTTCTGAATCGGCCGACTTGGTTTCTGAATCGGCCGTTTTGGTGTCTGAATCGGCTGTTTTGGTTTCTGAATCGGCACGATTTTGGTTTCTGAATCGGCCAGTTTGGTTTCCGAATCGGCCAGTTTGGTTTCTGAATCGGCCGTTTTGGTTTCTGAATCGGCCGTTTTGGTTTCTGAATCGGACTGTTTTGGCTTCTGAATCGTAGTTGCTGAATCGGCCATTTTGGTTTCTGAATCGTAGTTGCTGAATCGGCTGTTTTGGTTTCTGAATCGTAGTTGCCTGATCGGTTAGTTTCTGAATCGGCTAATGACCCACAGAGTATAGACTTATGCCACGTAAGAGCAGAGAAGAGAGCAACGTAACTAGCTACTGTAACAAGGAAAACCAGCAAGGTTTTAAGGCAAGAGCATGGCAGTTGTGCTTGAGCATACCGACAGAAGCTTTATTGCGTTGTGCCAAGATACCCATGGTTCAGCGGACAGAATCTTCAAAGTCTTCAAAACCTCAAGTCACTTCAATCTTGAAAGTCAAGTTGTCTCAATCACTCAGATCGAGGACTCAGCCCAAGCTCAGAATCAGCTAATTAATGGAATGCTTTGTTTGTTCACTTTGCGTAGGATACTTGAATCTTCTGAACTCAATTCCGACATCTTGACATCTGGCATTACGAGGAGTTTCACACATGCCCTCATTAAACTAATTGTCTTGCTCTTGATATCCTTGAAACAGCTGCATTTGCTCAATATATGGGAATCATATGTGCATTCACTTCACCCACCCTCTCACTCATGGACAACCCAGCGATCTCACAACGCACACTATCTCAAGAGTAGCTCACGACTATCGACTATGTACAACAGTCTACAGGAAGCGTGCTAAATCATTGGCTGTCCTTCTCAAGGAACGAAAAGGTCAGACATCATTATATACAGATTATTATATATCATTCTATGAAGTTTCCAGACAGCAAGAACAGCAAATGTTCAAATAGTAACAAATACAAATAGCAGCTGTAGTATAGGCTACAGTATGCAAATAATGAAATTTGGTCATGAAATCACTCCTTGCAAACACTTGGGAGAAGTGCAGATTGAGCTCCTGAGTCACTGCCACTCAACCAATACAGGGTAGACAATCAAATTGGGACGAAGCTGCTACACTTTAACAAAGCAGGAAAAGCCGCACGGTGTTCTGTGAGGAAAAAAGAACTCAAACGCATGTCCAGGTGCGTTTGCTTGAGCAAATGACGTCTGTGCGACCTTAGTTGCAGAAAGGAAAACAAGAGCAAACCGTAGGAAAGGCTGTGCACCTGTCCTCAGACTGCCGCAGATACGCCAGGGATTCGCAACTGAATTGTGCTCCCATCAGGTAGCAGAACTGCGTCTCTTGGCACCTGTCTTCATCTTGCTAGCAGTACTCAGGGAGCACGTTTCTTTCCATGCTCAATGCCCCTGGCTTGATGTCTTTTTACTTCGTGTTGCTTTGTCAGAGATGATGCTTTTGATTTTGCCTATTCCTAGCCAGAGCGTGGCATTGCCTTCATTGTATGTGTCTCCATCTGACATTAAACTAAAAGCCTTGTTGCGCACATGTCTACAGGTTGCTTCGGACAACAGCACACCGAAGCCCAGAAGCCTCTGAAGGAAGCCAAGCACCGTCAGATGTCTCCTCGGTCCAATTTTGCCACATCACAACACTTTCCAATTTGTAACTTTGCCTCTGTATAAATCATTTGCAGTACATGACCACACGAACTCAGATTACTCGTGCAATTGTAAAAAATTACAAAAGCGTCAAAGAGCCTCGAGCGACTGGAAACACGGCCTGGCGGGAAATCAAAACCAACCTTGGTGATGGAGCTTCCACATTGAGAACCGCAGCACAATTTAAAGCAGCGTCGCACATGTGACAACAGCACCTCATTTCCTCTCTCATACCAGTCCCAGGAGGACCAAACCCATTTAAGGCAAGGCACACCTTACTTGGCGGGAAACAAGTGGACACAGGAAGTTGGCACAGAAAAGGCCGAAAGACAAGAACAGTTGAACCAGGTTGAACCTTGCGAAGCTGGTTGCAAGGCAAAGTATGTTGTCTTTTCCATCTGTTTGAGCCGCTCCACAGGTGAAAAGACACGACATCTCTTGCAATATCTACCATAATGCCCTTGATGGAAATCGATTGTTTGAGCATCCCACAGAGCCCTTGGTTCCATCTTTGAGTTTCCTTGGCTGAGCACAAAGGAGGGAATCCACCTATCGGCTTGCCTAGTGCCATGGAAATCAGAATCAAGAGTTGATAGCAAAGATGGACTATAAAAGTGTTTTTGTGGGACCCTTTTCTTTTGAGCCCAGGTCTTCTTTTCTAGATGCATGGCAAGTTTAAACTTAAACATGACTCGGACTCAAAGAACTTGGCAGGCTGCTGTCTGAAGCACGTCGGCCGAGGTACGTGTAGCCTCTTTGCATTTGCCCATGATAAACATCTTGGCAAGGCAAACCACGCTGCTGTGCTGGATAAGTTGGATGAGAATGGAATACATTTTACATGGATACTGACCCAAGGAAGTACAGTACAGTAAAAGGATCAAACCAGAGAAAAAAAGGAAAACATCGTGTGACAGCTTTCGGATGAGTTTGGGGTTTTGCCTGGAAGGATTGGGAAAAACCATGTCGGGTTCACTGCAGGGCCTTCCTATCTTTGAGCATAAATGAAGACCTATGCATTTACGAACCATGTGGAAACTGTGTTGTTCGCAAAACAATGGGAACCCAATCAAAAGGACCTTGCAAACGGGTTTCCTTCCTCCCTTCTTCCTGTCCCACTCTGGCATAATCTGAAGTCCTGGGGCCACAACGTACCCAGCCTGTGTCTGCATTGTAACATAGGCCTGTACATTGTGGATCTTCTGCGCACCTTGCTGAAAGTACCAGGGATCATTGTGAGTTCTTGACTTGCCAAAACTGACATGACAGGGTCTCTCTTACTCCCAAGGATGGCACCACTTTGCAGCATGATCCACACTGGCCATCTTCAGCAACCTGGTTTGACAGTGCGTGAAGGCATGCATTGAATCCAGGAACAAAAAGATTAGGCCCTCAAATTAAACTGGGATTCCTGGCTGGAACGGAGCTTCGGCAATGACCTGCGCAGCACGACTCGGGAACTCATTGTTTTTTGTATCTCTGATTAGTGCCTCATCCGGCGCGTTGTCAAGTTGGTGCCTGACGCAAGCACGCTAAGCCTATCTTTTCTCCAGACCTGTTCAACCATCCGCACGAAAAAGGATCATAGGCCTGTTCAACCCTCAAAACGAAAAGACTGAGTTCACCACAATGCTTTCAGACGCGTCTTCAACCTATCTTTTTGAACAATACCGACACTGATATTTCATTCCTCCTCAACCAGTTTGTGTTTACACATGCATTCTTCTGAGGGCAAAACGTCTCATCGTCCAAAAATGTGTCCACACCACGGCGGGAAGCATCAGCTGCCGCACTGAAGGCATCACAGTTCACATAGAAACTGCTGCTGCGCATGGCCAAGTTCCAGCACACCCGTACGTCAAAAAAAATAACGATGCCATACATTCAAAATAAATGTGAAGATGCTCCATTTCAACTTTCACATCCCTTAACTTATACAAATTTGAGCAATGTTTCCGGTTTAACAAAAATTGAATGTTACTCCTTGGTGAATGATGCATGCAAAGACTCAAACAAGTGCTACAGTTCAACTTCCTGCAAAACTATACTTCTGCTCTGTGCCAGGGTCCACTCATGCGGTTTTTTGCAGTTGCCCAGCACTTGGTTCCCAAGCAACGTGCAGTTATTGCATAAACGCGTCCGAGAAATTGATAGGTGTTGAAAAATGTTGTGCCGCTTTTGTTGACTGACGTCAAAAGAATGAATATACCGAGTGCACATGCCAAACTGATCACAATCAACCTGGAATCCATGATGCGTTTCACATCCCGTCTTGATGATCAATCTTGCAGTGTATGTGAAGGACCACTTGACTTGAAGCAGGGCCGTCCCTCCATCGGCAGTCACTTTGCGTTCCAACAAACCCTGCCATGACCATTGTAAATTGTAAATGTGCACCAGGACACCTCAAGGGACTTCTATTGACAGCCCCTCAGATGTCAAACGGTGTCCATGAACCACCCCTTGTGGGTTCTGGTGGACACAATCTTTGGCCCAATTCTTTTCTGTGGGAACATATGGCATGCACTGATGTTCTTGTTCGAAGAGGCAACTGGTATAAACAGTGTAGAGACCAAAACCGAAAGTGGTTGTTCCAAAAACATCCAAAAAGTGTTTTACAAACAATTAACAAACGACATTCAACTTCGCATTTGAGAAATACGTTCCAAATGTGTGCGATCATGCCGAAAACAAGTGATGGAAAACTGTTTTTCACCAAAATCACAATTGGCAGACCTCTTTGCTTCGAACTCAAATGGGCCTCGGTCGCACATGCATGCATGACCTTGCGTCACGGTCTGCACGGCTCAACTCTCGCACTCCTCTTTTGATGACCATGATCCGCTGTGCAGCACGGAGCGCATGTTCCGAGGGGTTGCCAAAAAACAATTTGGTGTTGAAATTTGCTGAGAATTGGCGCATGGTGGAGCGTGTAGGAGAAACACACACATGCCGCATCAGCACCCCGCCTCAACAACTTCAGCGAAAAAAAATCCTGGCCCATTCTCGCCCCACTGTAAACCAACAATCAAGTCTTCTTTCCGCTCCAACAGCCTCGGCCAACAGAACCATCTTTCCTGCTGTTCTGTCCTGATGTGATGAGACAGGGAAACCAAGAACAACCCCAGCAACCTCAAGTTAGTGTCCAAGACCGTGAACGACTTACAATGGACACCAAGTGGACACCAGGAATGCCCGTGCCTTCGTACAAGCAGTGGGTAAGCCGGTCCCGCATGCTTAGCGGGTTTGTTTGAGCAAGCCTTTACATGTGAAAACACGGAAGCGTAAGCGTCCCCTTTTTGATCCCGCTCCTTGAGCCAAACATCACAGTCGGTTTGGCTGTATCAATGTCCCCTTCATCTCTTCTTCTGAAGAGGTCTGACTGGTCGCACTCGTCCAAAACATATTAAAAAACCAGAAAGCATATCAAGACACTCTCAAGCTATTCTCTACTATACACAGCTCTACCCAAGCTCTTCAAATCTCTACACTTCTCTACACAGGGCTTCTCTAGACATGCTCCTAGCCACTCTTGGTCACATTCCACCATGTCCTGCTAAGGAGGTCAAAGAGAACACATTTTGAGAAGGAAGATCCCCACTCAGCTCCCACCCCAAGGACAGAAAAACGAAAAGTTCCACTACAGAGAGGTCCCTTTTTGGGTCACCTCGTACCTTCCTCTGGTTCTTCCTGTCTTCTTCTTCTCTTCTCTTCGTTTTCTCTGAGCAACTAAGGTTCGAGCATCAACTGAGATCTCAACTCCAGTCCTCCAAACTGGTCTCCAGGTCGATCAAACGTCAACAAACTCAAGACGACAAGCTTCAAGCAAGCCTCAACTCAATCAAGACAACAAGTTCAACTGGTCAAGATCCCTCAGAAGGCAAGGCTTTAGGAGTTTCACAG